AAGAGGCAACAACTAAAAACCTGCTTGCTGCAGCCACAGAGTGCTTATGCGCAGCTCACCTCACTCCCAGCAAAGACCATCAGCACGACAGACTGCAAAGAGATGAAGCACATCTGCAGGTCAGTTTTAAACCCCGAGATTCAAAGAGAAGAGGTGAGACCAGGGGGAAGGGACAGCAGGTAAGTGTGCTTTTTAGATCAGTTGGCCTCTTGTAGCAATGAGGGGCAAGCATGTGGTGAGCAGACTGGGCAGTAGTGGGAGATGCAGGCAGGGAAGGCTCAAGGATCACATCAGGATGAAAGGAAGCCATGTGGAAGAGTCTCACATTTCCACTCAGGTCAGCACTCAAGTGCTCTGGGCAGCAGTAATTGTTAAGCATGTTAGATGTTAGTAACTATTAAAAAGACAGTCAAGAAACTCCTGTGACAGTTTTCTTACTGTAGCTGTTGTTCATCTTGCTGAATCTCTCCCCTTCCTCTCACCAGTGTCCCTGTCTTTTCCTCTATACACTCCCCAAAGTTTCTTGGCCCCAAATAGTTTTTAAAAGTCACCAAAAGCTGAAAATAGAAAAGAAACCCATATTGACCTGCTTAACTTAGAAAGCTCTGACACCTCCTGGTGAAGTTGTGGGTTGGCATCACTATCCAGATGGTAACGCTGCTATCCCTTTCTGCTTTGAAAAAGCCCTTGAAAAAGATGACAGAGATAACCAGATCCCTTCAGATGAAAGGGAGAAGCTTTACCCTAAAAGCAGCACCCAAAACCACTCAACATCAGCCCTTGATAGTCCTTAGCCAGACTGTTATTCCCATCAGATCAAACAAGAGGGAATGAGAGTCAGGCTACACTAAGTGCCAAACACCAGTATTGGAGTCCTGCTGTCACACCTTCCAGCAGCTTTTATCTTTTTTCTTTCTCTTCTGCCTCAATCTGATTTAAGTGGCAAAACCAACTCCATCGGTGGCAGCCGCTGTCCTCTTACAAATCAAAAAGCAGCTAAAAGGAACTGTCTGGTGGCCTCAGAACTGCTCTGAGGGTTAAGGTTCCTTCTTCCCTGCACAGACCAACAGCCATCAGAAGCTGCTGCCAAGCAAGAAGAGATCCTTGCCAGCTCTCTTCTGCTGTGCTTGCTCTTTTACTGTGTCTTTGCTTGCATTGTTTCAAAGAGACCAAGTTCAAAAGACAACCAATCGTTACTATTCCATCAATACTGTAAGGTGAATTCTCAGGCATTTTGCTAAAACAGACATTGTACAGCTTTGCACTAAACAATGAAAATAAAAGCTTTCTCAACACTCCGACTAAATTCATTCGCCATTTTCCCATGTCCCGTGCTTGCCTCTCCAGTGAAAGTATTTAAAAGTGCTCTAAAGCTGAATTTTGAAATGCAATTTATAATCAATAACTTTACCTGAAATGCGAGAACAAAAGCTTGATTCTTCTCAGACAGGAAGAGTTTTGCCACGACAAAGGCGTGGGGAGCACCAGCTTCTCACCTAATGTAATATCTGTGCCAGGCTCCCTTGACTTGGCAGCTTTCAGCCTGTGAAGGCTATTTTGTAAATGCCACAGCTGCCACTGGTGGAGATTTCGCTGTAACCCTGCGGCAACAACTGATGGGAGCTGCAGTGAAAGAACAAGTCACACAGAAACATCTACCACCGAACAGAGAACATGGGCTACTGCAGAGCAGAACTGGCCTGGGGAGCGACCTGCTTCCTGCACCCATCAAGGCAGAGGAGCAGTGGTGTAGGAAAGCAGCCAGAGTGAGAAAAACAAGCTGCTGCAGCTGCCAAAGGCTGGGAGCCAAGAGGCAGCCGCAGTCGCCTGGAGCTTCGCACACTACCTGGTGACCATGGAATGGCTCATAGTCATGGTCAAGCTCTGACCAGCTCAGGAAACCCTCCTCTGCATTGCTGCCCCTGGTAACGACACAATGGCGACTGGCCATGATGCTGCATCCTACTAGGAACAGCATTCCTGGTCACGAAAGCTCCAGGGAGTAAATTGGCACAAATCATGACTCCAGCGAGAAAGGATGTTTGGAGGCCAGAGACTAATGGTGAGGTTGCTTCCATGTGCAAGGGAGGAATGGGCTGGGAGAGGTAACTGAAAGCACCAGTGGTCATGAAGTAGATGCGATTTCAGAAGTACATTTGGGATGGGAGTTTTCTTTCTCTGAAGACAGTTACCAAGTCTGAGGGTGGGATTTTGGGACTGTGACATGGAAATACGGATGGTGCAAGAAGCTGCTTATGGCAAAGCAAGGCGGTTGCTGCTGCACACGGCAAGATTTCAGCTCAGGCTGGATGAGCTGGGCACAGGTAACGATACTCTGGAGCTGCTGAGATGCCCACATGAGTGTACCTCAACTGGGAAAACAAATGAGTTCAGTAGCTTCGTTAACACTTGAAATGCAGATTTTATGATGACATTTTGTAAACTTCACTGGTCCCAGCTCAAACGAGCTTTTGTGAACTCCACTGGCAGCACAGAACCCAGTTCAGATGCACTGGGTTAGCATTAAAGATCTTGTCTTAAAAAAAGGCTCCTGTAGAGGACACTGTAAAAACACTAGTGCATAAGTAGTAATGGAAAAATAAACAGCATCATGGGTGAAAGCAGTATCATCAAGTCTTCAGCACAGAAGAGATCACAGCTGTTGTCATATATAGAGACGTAATTTATAGTTATTTTATCAATGTTTAAGAAGATGGAAGAAGCCCTGTTTATGTAATACACAAAACATACTCTTGAAGGGATTAGACTAAATAATGTCCTAAATTCAGCATCTCCCAGTCTAATAAAGGACATAAAACCTGTTTGGCAATCTGTTTCTATTTTAAAAGACAAGCTATGGTATACATTACAAATATTGTTTGTAAAAGAGAGCTATGGGAAAAGGGTTGGTGGGATGTTCTGCATATATTAATGCTTCATTAAAAATGCCGTAAGAAGTAAGGAAAAAAACCCCTAAGTTTAAGATGCCCTCCCACATAAGGAAAAGGATTTTAAAGCACTTACTTATTAAATTACTTCACTTGCTTGAGCAAAAACATGAGCTTTCTTGGAAATCAGGACAAGCTGATTATATAAGACGAGATAGTTCTTTTTTGAAATGTTATTTCAATCCATGAAGATTTGTATCTACATTTAAGGGAGGGGGGGAATAAAGTGTATGATTTAGGCTGTGGTTTTTCAATGGATATGAATGTGCATCATTTAGGATTACTCTAATTAATTAGCTAATTTTATATGGAACTGTGAATACCAGCACTACCCTCCTGGGCTCTGACTTGGTCAAATGGAGCCTGATTTAAATGGGAAGCTTCAGCAGAGTCAGGGATCAAGCCTCCACTCAGTGACACACTCAGGTCCTGATCAATTAGCAGGGAAGCCAGAGGACGGCAGGGCCAGGCTTCTCTTTAGCACCTTGTTGGAAGTCTGTTTGCCCTGCACACTTCAGGGCAAAGAGGAAAATGGAAAATAATCCGTGTAAGAGCACATCTGTCCCTTGCAACCAGCTATTCTACGATCGCTCCAACACCACATCTATTAACTGTGTGCTATAAAAGTTACTGTAAAAGCACACAGCGAAATCTCCAACAGCATCACTTGTAGGACCACAGATCAGCAAGAGCCAGCTCCAGTTTATGCAGGACGGAGCTATCAAAGGAACCATGCACTGACAGACACACGGGTGACACGAGGGTTCCTGTGAGTGATCTGGTGCTGGCCGGGAGCGCTCACAGGCACTGGAGCCAAGCTCCACGGCAGGCCCCCCCCGCCACCCCCCAGCCACGCTGCGGCTGCTGCTCGCTTGGCTTAGCAGAGCAGAGCAGAGCAGTGACCCAGCACGGCTCAGGGCAAGGCTGCCACGAGGCTGAACCCAGCGCACAGATGGGGCTTTCGTGGTGGCCCCCACGCTGGCATTTGCCCCTGCCCCTGGCAGGTCAGTGGTCAGAGCCGCTCTCTGGCTCAGGACATCAGCTCATTATGAAAATGAACCTTCACTGGGCCTGACTTTCAACTCTGCTCCAGCAACAGTGAGCTTGACTAAAGGGAGTTTACCCACACTCCAATGGTAAAGACAAGAATTCAGCCCTTGAGCAGATGAACTGTCATTCAATCCTTCCATTGCTGGATCAAATCCTGCCACATCTATCAGGGTTTCTCTTATGGAAAAAAGGTTGAGTTTTCAAACTTAATTTAAAAAGAAAACAACGTGTCCCGGCTGCTTCAAGAAACGCTCCTTTCAACACAACCCAGCAGGGCCATCTCACCCAACTTCACATGCCTGCAGGGCAGCTGTCTGCCTGAGAGAGCTCCCGTGTCCCGGCCCACGCTCCCTTCACTGAGCAGAGAAAATGGAGCTTTCAGGACACAACGCAACTGACCTATTTTAGGTACCTACTTCAGGATGAGATGAATCAGCCCCAGCAGCGCCTGTTTTCTCTCTGTTGACTGTAAAGGGAGTCTAGCTCATATACCCCTGGCCAGGTAAATCCCATCCTTCACACTGAATACAAGCAGAAAGAAAAGCACAAAAATGCTCAGAATGCTACTAATTCATAACATTAACACCACGCTGCACATGAAGCATTTGAGATTGCAGAGCAGAAAAAGCTTTAATACGAAGCTGTAAGGATTCTGGTAACACAAGTAAATTAACACCTAAGCAGCAGCTCTCTGGAGTAATTGCACAGTTGTTAAAAAGGGAAGTTGCAGAAAACAACCATTTGCAAGGTTGCAGCCAATGTAAAGATAATTTCTTGATGTAGGTCGGTGCAGGGATCTGAAGGCTCACAACATCCAAGGCTCAATTAGCACAGCTGAACAACTACAGGCGGAAAAAACTTGAAGAGGGTGACTGATAAAAGACTCCAGACAAATGAGCAAGATGTCTGTAGTTCAACTGAGGCTCATAAGACACATGAAAAACAGGCTCAGAAATCATCCAATAGAGTATTAAAGAAATACTGAATGAAACATGGTCATGCTTGTGACTGATGTTTGCTTGCCTGCCTTCTGTACAGATAACTGGAGCCTATTTAGAAAGGACCAACAGGCATGAGAGGAGATGGTAAAAAGGTGAATGGAGCAATGCCTGCAGAGGTTACCAGTGTCTGCTAAGGAGTACCAGCCCCTTCACCCACTGCATTTGGAGCTGCTCAGCTTGCCCCTGCTCTTTGCTCCAGACAAGCAGCTCTACACAAGCTGCCAACCAAACCACCTGAGGGAAGAGTCTGCTTAACAAATCTGCAGTGGTTAACCCAGCTCAGCAAAGCTGCGCGAGTGGTGCCTGCGAGCGACAGGCCTGGAGATGGATGGATGGAGAAGTAATCAAGCATGGGCAGTGACATACAGCCTTGCTCTGGTGTACCAAGAGCAGGGAAGAGCCAGGGGAGTGCCTTTGGGAAGAGCAGATCTTCAAAGCTGCCAGCTCCATGCCCTGGGAGGATGGATGTCCGAGCACTCCCAGTGCAAAGCAACAGCCTCACTGTAAAATGCTCAGGTGATAACCTTGCCCGGTGACCACCCTGCAGCAGCACCTTCTTGAGGTTACAAAGTTGAAATACTTCAATAGCGGTATCTCATGCAAAATGAATAAAGGATTCAATTAAAAGATTGAAACGAAAACCTTAAATATTCCACTTTATGCTACCTGGTCTAATGGATGACACCCAAGGCTTGTCCCATAATACCTCCATGGTCAGAGCAATTTATCAGTGTCTGAACATTACCACCAGCAAGCCCATTAGATGAATCAGTCTGAATGAAATGCAATTGCAAACAAAGACAAAAACGTTGCAGTTTAAGGATGGCATTTTCAAATTTGTGTAAAAGGATTGAAGAGAACAAAATCCCATCAGTTCTCAAATGATTTGCATTCTTGGCTCTCTCTAACATATCTGAAGTTCAACACTGTCAGTTTTGCCAGTACTATCAGGGAAGAAATCACAACCAAAATATTCATAACTAAGTTACAATATACAGCTGTGTCAGCCCTGTTCCTATTATCCATTCCCTTGTAATTCAAGGTGTCATGGCTCAAGATGCAAGAAAACTTAGTTTTGCAGCCAAATCAGACTAACAGCATGCGTGATTTTCAAAAAATATTCTTTTAATACACATGAAGACACAGTTTGCATTTTAATAGTTTGGAAATAAATCTTACTAACATCTACTGGTGATCAACAAGTTATTTCCTTGACTGACCCAGGGCCTACACTGGACTGTATGGTGCTATCAGCTTGAAGAACTGTAAATATTTACAGCAGACTCCTCTTGGCTGCTTTAGAAGTGTGGACAGATACTGGCTGATTTTCTCAAGCACAACCACTGCTGGCTGGAACTGAAGTCAGCTTTTATGATCTCAGCAAAAGCTGGCAACATCCACACGCAGAAGTGCAAGGACAGAGTTGGCTCCCAGGCCAGATGGAGCCTGGTGCAGCTGTGTGACAACCTCAGCGGGTGTCACTGATGTCAGACAGGACACTGGGAAGATGGCTGGAAGAGTTAGGGCGTTAGGAGCCAAATGATCACCTCGAATCTTGAGGATTCTCAGACTGGCTCAGTCATGTTCATACCACGCATCTGTTCTCTCTAACATCAGAAATCTGCTTGTTTGGAAAAACAAGACTCTGCATAACTTTTGCTAACATTTTAAGATGCAAAACACTCTTTAGCTGTAAAGTCACCTACCTTAGGAAGATGTTTAAAATCTGACGTAATTACCACTTCCTAAAGATCCTGGGCTGATTTTCTGAAGAATGACATTACAGGGGTGTAACGAGGGTCTTCCATTTTTAAATTCCTACCTACATTTTCACTGCTTAAGCTTCCAAAGCTTAAGCTTTCCTGACACAGAAGACGGGACGCTGCAGCCTTGACTTCCCACCAGTTGAGAGGCAATTTTACTGGAAGACAGTATTAATTTAAACCACCACTGTGCACAGTTTCCTTCTTTTGCAAGAGGATTATGTGTTCCTTTCCAAAGGCACTGGAGGTTTTGGGTATGGTTGGTGGAGGGGAGTGTTCAGTTTATATATTCTGCCATTTTGCAACTCATCCCGTGAGTGGAGAGAGGGTAATGGTATTTATGACGCATCTTCTATAACACACGCTTTTTTTACTTTTCAAGACCAGTGCTGGTATGCAGATAAGTTACTGCTCCATTATCATAAATGTAGAGAAGAAAGAAGACTGATTTTTACCGTATGAGAGCAAGCCTGTCTTTTTCAGATGGATGATCATCGAGCCACTGGGAGTAGCGGGCAACGGACCACTCAGCCCTCTAATACAGAGAAACAAACACCAATTACACATGAAGGTGAAAAAGGAAACACACACACCAATTTCAGATCCAAGGTGATTTAAGCGAAGCCACATAAGGCTCACTTAATACTGCAGTGATGCAGAATGGGTTAAGGAACCAGAGGCAATTAACAGAAATAGCCCAATACATTATCCAGGAGCTCAGAGGTGATCTCCCACATCAGCTGTTTGCCCAATTGTGACAGAGGTTTGTATCTAGTTTTTCTGCATCTTACACGAGCAGGATCCAGGTAATGTACAGTCAGGGTAAGACCTGCAATTTCTTACATGAGCTGACAGAACAACATAAACTTAAGAGTCTATTTAAAATCAGGTTATCATCTTCCTACTGTTAATTAATTAAAATACAAAGCAAATGACCAGAACACCTTTGCCACAATAAAAGCAAAAGTCAATAAATCATATAAAGAATGAGCTTGAACACTTTTTAACTAAAATATCTAGGATGAATTACAATGTTCATTCCTCCTTAGGACATCTCGTAAGGAAAGAGAGGTTGATCTTATTACCTGGAAGGGTGATTTTAACTCTGGTGGTGCTCTTGTAAATAAAAACTGAAGAATAATGCTGAATGGAATAACCTCTCCCAAAGCTGGGCTACTGGCAATATGCTCACTGGTCTGGAACAGCAACGGTCTGGAAAAATGTAAAACTATACTTGTGAAAGGAAGAAAAAGCTTATCTTATGCATTAGAAAAACGCCTATATGGTGGCAATACTGTGTTAGAATAGAATCATCTAAAGTTTTGCTACTAGTCTGCATCCTAGGTTTTCAACACAGGTTCAGATTGTAAAAATTTACAAAGTTGTCTATTGTAGTTAACAACCCAGGACTGTAAATTCTATATTTCAGTGCAAACACTTCAGGTAGCTATAGAACTCACTGTCATGAAGGAGTTGTACTGAAAGCAACACAAAAAAAAGTACAATTTGGCCAACATTTGCATGACAAAGATTGTTAAATCATAGTTATACTCTTCATAGAATTACAAAGAACTTTAATCTATTTCTAATTTGCAGGTGGGTGTTGCCAAAAAAGCTCTGTTCAATCAGAATTAGCATGAGATAATAAATCGGTTTTGAAATACACTTTGATCATACTGCTAATTGCTGGCTCCTGTGACTGCAGCTCACCTGAATGATCTCAGCTGTCTGTAAGATCTTCCCAGGTCAGAGACTCGCCGACACAGCGGTGCCACCGCTAACTCCATCTGTAAAAACAAACATTTCCATTTGGATTAGAGTGTCCTAAAATATACAACTGGGCACTGAAGCAGCTGCCTCTAAGCAATAATCCAAACCTGCAGACCAAGTTACCGACTTCTTGCTCGTGGCTGAATTCGATACAAGAAGCTATCCTTTCCTTTCACACTGCACTGCCCAGGCCAAGATTTTTGCCTTGTTCTTGGCAACACAGTAAGCACCCCATGAGAAACAGCAGTGATAGTCTGTGGTTAAGAACAAAAGGAGTCTCATGAGCTTTCTGTGACTGAAGCTCTTTTTCTCACAACAGGTTTACTTTGTTGGTGATGAGTTTCCTGATGAAGCCTTTATGTCAATACCCCAAAAAATCTGACTACAGCCTGGGAAGAGAACAAATGTAGGCAGGTCTCCACAAACCATTCCTGAAGCAGTAAAATGCACACCCATCTCAGCAGGGAACCTTGCTTTTGGCAAAGCACAAGGTTGAAGTGATTCCTTCTTGAATACTCAGCCCCAGATCGTGGGGCACAAAACCTATGCAGATTAGACAGAAAGCAGCTGGGACCTATTGCCACAGGGTCGTACAGAATCACAGGCAAAAGAGCAGCAGTAAGAGCTTTATTTTCAAACTGATTTTCATACTGTTCTGTCTCTGAGTTACAGCAGCCGTCTTTAAAAACAACTGGTTTTTAAACACTTTCTGGTTTTTAAGCACTGGAGTTCACCTGCCTTTTCAAGCAGGCTCTGCTTGGGTTTTTACATCATTCATGTGGGACTAAATTCTGTCACAGACTCTTCATTAACAGTGAGGACACAGAAGTGAGAAAGAACAATTACACTTCCAGATTCCAGACTGAACATGAACATTACATGGCAACATTTCACAGTTAATACACACCAGTACAAACACCACCACTCAAAAAAACCCAACCCATAGCTAAAATAATTTTAGCCAGGTATGGATTAAGTCTTTGTTTTTTGCATTCTGGAAGTGTCAGCCAAGAGAGGGACGGCAAGCTTTATTCCCCACATGTTTTTGAAACCCCAACTTAAATGACTATTCAGACTTTGATTTCCACATAATGCACAATTAAGCTAAGTTTCAAAGGATGAGAGCTAAAATAAGTAACAAAATCAAAACCACCATTCAATGAGCTTCCCATTTAAGTAACATTGCTGAGCTAGTTTCACTGCGTTTGTGATAATACACTATTTACAGTGAAGTCTTTAATAATATTATTCTTTCCAGCTGTAGAATTTCCTCAGACAGAGCTGGCTGCCGGCTGCCAGCTCCACCAAGAGCACGTAACTATGCTGGGGTTCCAGCATAAACAAGAAAGATGGTGTGGCAAACTATGATGCCATAGCTCATCTAAAGCCAGAAGAAACTGAATTGGCAATTAATGCAAATCAAGGCCATACACTTCATGTCCTCATCCTAAAAAGCAGGTGGCAGGATGGGAGTCATCTCACCTACTTCTCAACATCTACAGGTTCTCTTCATGCTCGGGGAGAAAAACAGCCGCTCCTGGCTGTGATGCACCTTTCCCCCAAGCAAACACCTAAAATAGGTCAAGTGGGTCATGTTGAAGGAGTATCCACGTACATGACACTCAGTCAGACAAAGCTGGGAAAGCCAGAGGGCAGAAGCCAGGCACCTACACTTCCTTTACAGACAAGGAGTAAAGGCTCTGAAAGCCCTGCAGAGCTAACCTACAGGCAGCGAAAATCCGCTCCCTAAGCCTAGGAACTTTAGAGTACATGTCCCACATCAAACACTTCCAGGCTGCTTGAAATGTGCATTTTGTATTAAGCAAAAACTCACACAAGCAGAAAGTGAATAAAAATCCAGGAATGGAAATAAGGATCTTTGTCTTTGGCTTTCAGATGAATGCTGCAGCCCTGGGTATCAGCCTGGCTCCCTCCTGCCTGCTGCCCTTCTGGCCCCCAAATCTTCTACTCTGGCCTATGAATCAGCCCCTTCTCTACAGGTGGGTGAGATGCCTGCCCTGTCCCCCTGTAACCCTCACAACCTGAGGGCTAGGTCACCTCTCCCACACTCAGGCAGGAGGGATACCCGTTCCTTGGGCTGAAGACCATGTACAACCCAGCTCTGCGGTTCCTGAGCAAGGACGCCATCCACCAGACAGTGCGAAAGGTGTGCAGATGGGAAGGTCTCCATGCTTGAGGAGGAGCCGTCAGCTGCTGTGCCTTGTGCTGAAACCACCAGCACAAAGGAGCGAGGTTGAGAACACATTCCCAGGACAGGCAGGTTTTTCCCTCGGGATTTCTGCAGGGAGGTGCTCCAACTCCAAACTGCAATGAAGCTTAGCGCAGGCAGGGGGGTTGGAACTAGATGATCTTAAGGTCCTTTCCAAGCCTAACTATTCTACGATTCTATGATTCTAAGTTCAGCATGTTGTTTCCCTAGATCCCCCGGGACACTTCTGAGCATGTATGGGAGCCAAGAGGCCAGTCTACTGCAGAGGAGCAAACAGTCAAAAAGAGAGCTAATTAAGTAGGCTTTGGCTGTGTCATGGAACCCTACAGACCCTGAAAACCAAATGGGATTGAGACTGATTTCTCCAGAGCTGCTTTTCAGGCATCAGTACTGGCTAGGGGCAGCTGGAAGGAACTGATATCCTGCGGGAGCTCGTGGCAGCTGTGGGCTCGTAGCTGTAAAGAGCCAGGAAGAAGGTAATTCTTTTAGGTGGTTTAGAGAATTCGGTAACAGGCAACAAACTACCAGTCTGACTTGTGGAAACAGAGATGCATGGATCAAACTGTACTCACAATGGGAAAGAAATCCCAGCATAGCAAAATACAATTTTGCTTAATAAGTCTAAAATTATTTTCACTCCTGAAACATAATAGGATGTGATGAGACGTACGTGCAACTTTCTACAGCTTAACCAATTCCTTATTAAAACAAATTTAAACGATTTCTCTTGAACATACTTGGCAGTTCCCATAAATCAACAGTTTTTAGTCTTAAGTACTAAAGAATAAAATTCAGTTTGGAAAATTCTATTACTTCATCTTCAACCTTTATTCACTGTAGGAAATTATTAGTATTGCTAGAACTAGATAGATATAATGGCAGCAGATGGTTGATTCGTGAAGTACTAGTTGCCAAAGAAAAAAATTGTTTTTAAGCTTTGTGGCATACTATACCATCTCAAATTGACTCATGAAGAGTGGGAATGAGTGAAAACTAATGTGGCAAAAATGTACATAAACCGCAGAAACTTTGTTTTTCATTTACAATGCTAGTCTGATGTGTGTTACAACCCAGTCTCTCCAACAAAAAATATACATCGCATAATAACCAAGACTGTTTTCTTCACTCGAATTTTAGCTGTTTGTCTCAGCCCTATCACGTAGTGAGATGCTCCAGCATCTTTCTGCTGTTACACTCGTATCTGCAGGCTTGCTGAGCATGGCTTTGTGTCTGCGCAGAGCAGCGCGCTGCTGGCCTGGGAGCAAGTGCCGGGGAGGAATCATTCAGCTGGAACATCTGCTGTTTTTAAGATGCTGGAGTTGAGCAGATGATTGAGTGCACCTCGCTTCTTGGTTTTGCTACCTGTCATCACCTGAAGCTGCATCAACTGTTGATTCATGCAGCATGTTTATACTGTAGCAGCTTCTGCTATAATGTACAGCTATAGTTTCCAAAGCATTTTGGTGAGCTTTCACAGGCTCGGTGATGTTTTTGGCTGGCTTGCATCATGTGTGCAAGTCCTTTCATACAGCCATGTCCCATGGACTTTACCTACGAAAGGGCAAGTAGCGCTTTCTGGTTTTTTCCGAATTTCACTCCCAGAACTGCAAATCTGAAAATTCAGGTATCCAGGTGAAATTCAGGGATAAGTCAGGTGTCCAAGCAGTAATTTGCAACCACAGAAGCTTGATGGACTACTGTGAGATAATCATGAACACAGCATCCAAGAGAAGCAGTAGGAACTGCACATGCCTGCCTAAAAGGAAGGGGCAGCTAGAACAGAAGAAGGCCTAATGACTCTGCCTCGTTCCTCCTAACTTTGTTCAAACCCCATTGCTTTTCCACGATTTATTCATGTTATTTTGCTATGCTTCACAGAACACAGTGACTGACTCCTGCCCAACATACACTGCTTCTCAATGATTCTTTCTCTCTGAACCCCGAAAGCGTAGATTATCTGTTCCTCTCGTATGACCTTGCCATAGCCCATGGCTAGGTGGTCAATTATCTGCTCAACTATTCACTGGATAGCCATATTGTAAAAAATACATCACATGGCTGGCTTCTCTAATTGGATTATGTTCAGCAACCCAAGGGTGAAGTTAATACATAGTCTAGGTACACATAATGCATATATATCAAAGAGTGCTTTGAAAAACCCCATAGTGAAGTTATTGTTTAGTGCCTATTGTGGTATTTTCAAGATCTCTCATTACTAAACAGCTGTTTTTTCAGCTGGAAAATCTTAACGTTAATTTTTTAGCAATTACATTTCCTCTTGGCCAAGATGAATTCCAAGTTTTTAAATGTTAACTCAGAATGTTTTTTCTAGCCATTCACCAGAAGAGAATGCTTTTAACAAGAAAGGGAGCAGAAGAGCTCTGAACAGAAGCTGGCCTTGAAGGGATGTGGAATTTGATTTCTCCCCCATGCAGCAATTCCAGAACAGTTGATGTTTAAGGAAATCCTTCAGCAGTAATACCCCCAAAATAGCACACATCAGAAAATTATTTCCTCCTTCCATTAAGATAGTTAGCGTTGAGAATTAAGTGTATTTTAGCTTTAATAGTTTCTGTCCTTAGAACTACAACTGTGATTACATCATCCTGCTTCTCTCACTTCTCCGGAAGAAACTAGAAAGGAAATTTTTTAGGAAAAAAGTATAAAAAGCATTTTTACACTTGAATCACCATGTTTGAGCAAACAAGCCAATCTATTTACATTTGTAAAATCCCAAATGCCTAATGCTCTTGCTTTTTTTAATGCAAAATTCCATACTAAATCAGAAAACCAGATTCTGACAATAGGCTAACCAGCAGATAGAAACATTTCTTCTATACTACACTTTAGCATTACCAACTTCTACAGTAAAAACATTTTTCTAGGATAATTCAATAAACCAAAAAATTTTTGCAGTAATTTGCTGATAAAGACTTGAAGAGTTTGTGGCAGTGTTAACCATGCCCCGTCAAAACTGTCTGAGCACAGTATTGAACAATGCCAAAACCCCCAATTATAAATCACACATAGATAAGGAATATATGAAGATATATATAGAACAGTATTAATTCAGACAGGACCAATAAAACTAGCTCTCTTGACAACGCTCAGAATAATCAGTCATGACATGAGATGAGGGTCTTGGCACAGACAGTGGCTCCTGCCTTATATGTCACTCCAAACATATACATGTACTATGAAAAGATGGGAAATCATGTCATGCCTTCATGCCATGAATCATGAAGATTCCTTAGTCTAGCAGTTTCTAGACTAGTTTATTTCAATGCAGTTGTGATTTGTATTTGCTATTAATAAACAGCTCTTTTTCTGTATCAGCTTACAAACTGTATGTAGCAAACTATAAATTTCCATGCCAGATATTACTGTAGATTCCTCATTTCTTGTAAATAAATTTCTCAATTCATTTTGCTTACATATCATTCTTTGCTGAATTGTCCAGCACTTCCACTGGGTTTGAGGAAGGCCTGAACTACAAACCACCAACCCAAAGTGTGCCTATAACAACTCTGAATACCAAGCAAGTTAAAATGTCCTCTTTTAACTTGTCCTGGTACTCCCCAGAAACATCAATGTTGAAAACCCATCAGGGCTTGCTGGCTTGCTTGCCTCCAGGAGAACATTTTATTCAGTCTGACTAATACTGAATTAAAAAGCAAAATTTGGGATTACATATGTGAATGCTGACTTATGGTCACCTTAAAAACAAAAAACCAAATGAAAACAAACTGATCTAGGAATTTAAAGGACTGTACTGAAAAGTAATCTTGTACTACTGCCTGCATAAAAAATGGAAAGAGGTGCATTCAGCCTGTAGACCGGAAGTATTTCAAAGAATGAGAGTCCCAAGGAACAACACAGTATGTGACAATAACTCTGCAGCACTGCAGACATTTTCTAGGGCTTGAAAAGTTTGTGTTCCTATAAGCACTGATCCTTATGCAATCATGTTAATGATATTCAAACATATTTCAAGCCTATCATGCCTCTGTTTACAGCTGCCACACTAGCACACACCTAGCCTTGCTGCTGAAATATGTGTAATGCACAGACAGCAAAGTGAAATAGCAACACTGGAAACAGGGTAAGTACAGAGAATTCAACAGAATTACAGCAGTAATTCCTAGCTGTGTAAGTAGCTGAGCCTTACTCAAGACAACTGGCTGCTGCGCACCTCACCAAACCCAGCTGTGAATGAAGAGAACTTGAAGCCTCGGTTTTTCCCCTTCTGTGCAGGTAGTTGTTGTTCAGAAGCAACCCATCAGTAAAACATGCTTCCAGTGCAAACAAATTTCAAATCTGACTCTCAGCCAAAGCTATTCTGCTGAGTGTAAGGCAACTGTAACTGGGTGCCCTGAGAGAAATGTGCACAACATCATGAGATACCCAAAATCTGATGCAACCCAAGATTGTTTGACTTACTGCATGCATGTATAGGACCTCAAATTTACCAAAGCTTCTCAACAGATTTCTGCCCAGGTCTTTTGCTTGCAAGTAACCCCAAAACACCAAAAGGTGTTTTAGATCATAAAAGCCAGTTTTGAGCAGGAAAATGTAACCCTTTTTGCGTACAGAAAATTCAGAATGATTCTACAAGACACAGCACAAGTAAACATGGTTTATGAACAAACCTCCTCCTACACACACAGTGTCTTTTCAGGTAGGTACTTCCCTTCGGGTTTGGCTTTAGTCCAACAATGCAGTGCCTTTCTGGGACTGATTAAAAAGCCTGCATGCAGCATTTTATGACCATTTGGAAAAGCTTATCCTTCCCATCAAGTCAGCAGCCCAGCTAAATACCTGCTTTCCTCAGTTCAAAGCAGCAGCAACCTCTCCTGTGGAGGAATCAAGTCTTCCTTGACAAAGCCACGTGCCCCATGGATCATGGAAGTGACATGGGTCCCGTTCAGGATGACAGCCACATTGAGGCGAACACGCCCAGGGGTCCTGGCCAGGTCAGAGCAACTACACCTTCCCCAGTGGGGCTACCAGGAGCTGGCATCATGAGCACGTGCCAAAAACCCACCAGCCCTTTGGGAGGGGCAGACACACCCCAGAAAACATGGATATAGGCAGCCTCCACACACAAAATGTTTTAGTCCTTCTTCTGTTATCCCAAGTAACAGGGTATAGTGCCCAGGCCATTCTGGACACTGTGCAGCCTGGGGTGCCCCAAGGAGCACTGTGCAGAGATGCTCAATGGCACAAAGTGAGCGTTGAGGTGGCTGTATGGGGCTGGTTGGACCCAGACAGTTCTTGTCTTAACCCCCAAAATAAGCCAAAAATACAGTGCAATGTGAAGAAGAGAAAACACACAGCAGCCCCCCTGATGCAGCAACAGTTGAAGGCAGGAGACAAGAATTAATTCAAACCCCTCTACCATTTTTTTTTTTAGATCTACAGTACAAAAGAAGAGAAATCAGAACATTTATTTTCACACAGCTGTCCGTTCAGGAGTTATAGTCAGCACTGTGGGGAAGAACATGCAAATCCCCCTACACTCAGATGAAAACATACCTTCATTTTTCACTTAAAAGGCAGCCCATGTCAAAAGGAGTATTATTATAATAATAGGTGCTTAGATCAGATGCTCTTTACTGTAGAATTAGGTGAAGGTAAATTTTCCAAATTTATATGACTGGCTTTAGTACTGCAGCATAAATTACAAAACTTATCTATATTCCTTTCAGAGGAGGAGTCAAGTGTTCTTTTTTTTCCTCCAATTTTATGCCATTGTCTTCAAAATAGAGAAGGGAATGGAACCTTCTCACTAAAAGCAATTGAAAACTTCCCCTTAACTTCTGTAGTTAAAGGCTGTTTTGCTACTTTTGAGTAATGAATAAAAAAACTTAACTCAGGAGTATGTAACTCATAGGCAAATGATACAAAGCAGCCAGAAGCAAGAGCAGAGATGGCAGTGATTCCTCCCTCCCTGCCTTCCTCTCCTACTTCAGTTACCTACTAGCCAAAAGCAGCACTTGGTATGCATACAGCTGGTGCTAATTCCCTTTTCTGCATGGATAATAATAACCCCCAGACCAATCTAGTGGATTCCTGTATTCTTTGGCAAGTTAATGACAGACTGTTATTACTGACAAATTATATTTGAATATAGTAGATAATGCAGACAGGGAGTGGATATTAATGTGGCAGTTTGTTTTGTGTTTTAGCCCAGTGTAAAAGCTAGATAAAGCTGAGAGGCAGATAAGTCAACCAGGTCATGAAGAGAATCCCACACGAAAACTACCCTTTTGTTATCGAAAGGACAGCTCTTCCACAGCATATTGGTATTTCTGTGGCTTGTCTCCTCCACTGCAAGGCAGCTGAGTTAGCAATTAACCAGTGTGGGCACTGTGATATATAAAGCGATTAAGAAAGTGACACACTATTCCATTAAAAGAGAGAGAAAGAATGAAGCGAATGAATGGTAGCAAATGATGGACATACCGAAGAGGTCAGACAAGCAGGATAACATGTCAAGACACAGCTGAATTTAAATGCAAGTCACTTGGCTGTCAGACCTCCCTGAACATGCCTTACGGTGACAAGGGATCTTCAACCACTTAGTGGATGCATTTCTCAGGATAGAGTATCCCATCAGAGAGCATGTTTAGAACTGGAATGCACCGATCTCTACAATTGCCTGTTTATACTTCGATGTGGACAACAGTACTGATACTTTTCAGTGACCACAGTGAAGCAACAGAAAAACAAAAACCAGTATTGAGCGTACCTGCGCAAAATCCGCTGCAAGCCGCATCTTCCCTCCTTCACCGAGGGGCCTTATTAGACTGGCATTGCGAATGAAAAGTTCAATTGCTCTTTGAGCCATGGCTTCAGTGTTATCAAAGACAAAGTCAAAACACTCAAAATGTCTGAAGTAGTCGCTCATGACTCTTGCTATAAAACCCTGTAGTTCTTTCATGTACAGAGAACAAGGGACATCTGGTTTTCCTGAGCTGGATAATGATCTGAAAAAGAAAGAAAAGAAAAAAAGAAATGGGGACAGCTAAATTCATCTTTAAAACACAACCAAAACCTATTGGATTCTTTTTACTTTTCTTCCTACCCCACGAAGTCATGGCATGAATTGTAGAGTCTCATTTTCTATTGAGAATAAAGAGCACTGTAGCTCTCTCTGCAACTATAGTCTCAAAATACCTATCAGCCATTCTCATCCTAACAAGACAAAGCAAATCACCCCACTCCTACCCAACTTGCAGACCCTCCACCAATTTGGAGCCTAACCCTCAGATCCAGCCCCTAGATTTAAATGTCCCAGTTGTTGATTTGAAACTCTAATAATGGATCAGAAAACACAAGCACATGTCACAGGGTTACTAGCTGAGCCTACCCCAAACCTGTTCTCTGTGTAAAATCAGTTTCCTAGATTCCTCCAAACCCAGTATTATAAAGTCAATCTAATTATCACAGAAGCAGCATCAAAGCTCTGGGACACAGACATCAATCATCTTTATCCTTCTTTGAATCACAGTCAGGCAAAAAAGCTCTTCCAGTCTCAGGAACCTGAGCATACAGGCTGTCTAACAAAACTTAGCCTTTGGGTGGAATCAGAAACACGGAGAGAGTAAAATACTGTTAAAAAAAGAAAAAGAAAAAAGGAAAAAGAAAAATTTAAAACACCTCTGAAAATATACTACTTTCAGTAAATTTCCAAGACAGGAAACAGGACATCTGATGATGATATAAGCAATGTCAGAACAGAGATAACAACCAAAATAACGCTCAGGAAGGAAGGCTCAGTTAAAGATAGGACTCAAGATCTTTGCAGATAAAGTACACTGGGAATTTTAATTAAAATGCTATGGGAAAACAATGTAATGCACTAAATCTGAACTGTCAATGGAAAAGATTTTTTGAAACGTTTCATATTCAATAATACTTCAGAAAAAATGTTGCATCAGAGGTTATATGCTTTATTTTGAGAAACAGAATACTGACAGTTCAAATAACAAAAACAGAATACTGACAGACTGTCCACAAAAAATAAGTTTTGAAAGCAAAAGAGGTTCTTTAAGCACCAAAAAAGCCTCTGCTTGCCTTTTTTTTTCGATTTAAAGTGAATTTCACTCAAATGCAAAACTTTATGAAAAATAAAGGGGGGGGGAGGGGAGAGAGGGAAGAAGACAGATGCCACATGATTAATTTGTTTCAATAGGTAGGTGTAATTCTGCTTTCTCTGTTCACTGACCATAAAGCATCACCTTCCCCTTAACAAATACGTGCTCTTGCTCCAAGGCTCCAAGGCTCCATTGTGGCAATGACAATCTATCATGCATATGCAGGACATATTACGAAAGCAATGGTATGTTTAAAAAATATTTCTAGTTACCCAGAAAAATCTTCCTGGTGCATAGTGATGATAATAGCTTCTACTGAATCTCCTACAGAGTTCAGTAACGGCTGAACAGCACTACCCATTAGATCATGGACTGCCTAAAATAGAGTAAGAAAAAGGGAGAAGTAAGGAAACAGAAATTAGAAGCATTTAAATTTTGACACCTCAAAAATACCCTGACAAACAGCTCATTTTAACAGTGCTTTTTATTATCCTGCATTAGAAACTGCTAGATACGAGGACAAAAGCCTAAGATAACATTTCTCTTTAACTGATTTTACCAGTAAAGTACAGAGATAAGGCTGTTTACTGTATCTATGTAAAGCCTTCCTTCGGAGGTGCACAACAATCTGGTATTCCTGGTTTGTAAACATACATGTTTTGATGCACAAGCTTCATTCAGCTGTTCATTCCCCAGACACTCAAGCTGCCCTTCATTCCTCTGCACACAACCCCTCCCAGAGTAGTGCACAGCAGGATGGATGTGAATAGCTGTCATACACAGAGGGCTGCACGGCCATCCACATCACCCCCCTGAAAAGCACCAGGTAGCATATAAATCATAATTTTATGTGTGGGTCAGGGTGGGTAAAGGGGTAATGAAGGATCCAGTTATTGCTGCGTGAATGCCGCACAGAAAGGCATTTACTTTCACAGTCCCACCATTACGAGAATATTCTTGAATACAAATGCTACTCAAGCAGTGATTTTGGCACATACAACATATATGTAGCTGTAGATACAACGAAATACAAATTTTAGAATATTTGTACACCTGTGACTAACACACACTGACACACAATAATACCTGGGGAAATAAGTGCCCATTTTAAGTACAACAGACAAAGAAACACTCAGCCCTACCCCTGCAGCATATGGACATTCAATTACCTTTAAGGCAGTTGTGACTGTTTGCTCAGCAGCTGTTGGAAATGAGCTCTGACTGGTAACAACCTACAAATTTTAAAGTAATTGTTAATAGTCAACATTCAACAAATTATTAGAATCCATAATATTTAATCTTCTTTTAAAACATACAGAGATATGCCTAGTAATGAGTGGTTTACATAGGTATAGATAATGTCAAATGGGGTTTATACAAACAGAATTTTCAAGGCACCAGTAATCAGTCCTTTACACTCAAATTTCCTGTGGGCTCTGCTTCTGCCTTGGCGAAGAAATGATTTAGTTGAGTTCAAGTGAAATTTAGCTGAAGGGTTAACAGGATCTGAATAAAAATTAGTGCTGTCTTCTCTCACTGCTAAATATAGAATTTATGGAGAACTATACAAGCAGCTCTATAGCAAATATTTGAAAGAATGGTTGTTCTTTCTCAGTATTGTGACTATTATAACACTACTTGTTAAATAGCTGTTTATGTACAGCTATGATATTAGAAGTTAAGGAATGATCTAAAGGAATATCCTACCAATTTTCCTACAGTTATGAACATGATACACAATAGTATTTTTAAGCCAGATAAGTACTGAACTCAAAGACTGAATCATATCAGATCTCCCTCCAACACTAAGGCACATGAGGTTCATTACTAAATACATCAGAGAAAGCAGACTTAAAAGTTGATCTACCATCTGTTTGCAAAATCCAAGCAAATTTTATAGGCTTTTTAGCATTTTTAAACATGTCCACAGTCAAGAGTACTCATGATCTTTTTTCCTCATCATGCTAGGATTTAAACACAATTAACTGGACTATAACCACTGTATCTGTTTGTTTTAATTTACAGAGCCTGTGTAAGCACTGGCATCACTAAGCCAGTAAACTGGCATTATTCATAACTGTGCTTAGTCCTGAAAATAATGCCAGGCCAGACTTTTGTAACAGGAACAACACATGGGGATATTTATGATGTGCTGCTTGTCCTGATTTCACCCTTCCCTTCCCCTTTTCAGTTTGGCCACAGCTGTGGGAAAGCAGTGATGGTCTTCTGAGTAAGTTTGGGCTGGGACAAGGGTTATCAGGCTGACCAGTACAAAGACAGAGCTTACTTGATAATGAAAACCATAAAGAGACCAGTTGTTCAGATTCACAAAACAATGGCTGTGAAATGTGATTATTCTCTATAAACTTATCTTTCAGTCCTTTTCTAATACTGACAATTTGTCACAAAGCAGTGGGCCAATCAATTCTCAGACCTGCACAAATGCACAGCAAGGTGCAGGTCTTAACCCAAATCAGGATGTATTTGTCAGAGTTCTCATCAGCTAATGGGAGAATATGCATGCAGTACAGCAAAGAAGTCAACCTTATGGCAAGAAAAGAAATACCATGGAAGCCTACCTTCAGAACCGACTGGTGTAGTTTGTATAGTGAATTAACTACAGCCACGTTCCTCCTCTGCCCATCCGTGAGAGGCCCAATCACCTGGCTGGCATCTCCTTGCGTAGACAGCTGCAGTGATTGCAGAAGTTGTTAAAACAGTACTAACTCTTTAAACAGTGCACCACCACAAAATTAAACTTAACTAAAGTTAGACCATGGCAGAAAGCCATAGATCTTCCATAGCAATGTTCTTCCATTTAACTGTTGTCTTGATTCAAACTATTTCTATCTATCTCCAGGTAATGTAAACTGAACAACAGGCACAGAAACTGTGAGAGACTGCTGTCTCAGCTCCCAGACCACAGCACTCAGACCCAGATCTTTTGGAGATTCCTGGTCCCAGCATAACTTCAACATTGCTTTCTAAGAGCCAGGTGAATTCACCTACCCGAGGATGTAGTATAAACTAGCAGAAGCAGAACTGAAAAGGGTATGCTTTTCTGTAATTCCTCAGTCCTTCCTTCTGACAACAATTCAAGCATATCCTTAAAAACTCTGTTTCTTCAAATAGATGGCTTACAGCTGTGTTCATATTAGTGGCTTGTAAATGAACACAAAGATAGAACTGCAAGGACTAAAATTGCTAATCCTGTCATTAAAGAGAGTTCTATCCTGAATCTTCCAGCAAAAATACATTTTTAAAAAAGTATTTCTTCATATTTAGACTCCACAAAGCATGCGTTTTTTATCATTACCACAGAAATCAAAGTTCCAGAGTGATACATAAATAGCAATTAACCACAGAACAGTCCCATAAGGATACCACAGCATATGTTTATAATTTAAAATAAAATCAATTCTAATTGGGAAAGAAATGGGAATTTTCTTGTGCACTGAAAGCTGCAGAAACACAAAGAATTGACAAAAGGCTATGTGAATTCTAGAAGTATGTCTAAATATTACAGCAAGAATAGCTATTAATAAAAGACTTTACAGAGATATCTGAGTCGTTATCTATATTTCAGACACAAAATTATCCACCAGCAAACTCCTGAAGATGCCTAGCTCCGTAAGTCTCTCAGTGAAAATACATTCAACTCATTGAACAAGTCATCAAGAGACTTTTATGAAGCATGTCTTTAAACACAGCTGTAGGTCCCACAGAAAACTCCTACACCAAAATTAAACATACACTAACAATTGTTTAACAACAAAAGAACAAACATAACACAAGAATTTTTAACTGTGAATCTTTCCTTGTGAAAAACTATTCCTGAACTTCCCATAGCTTCCATTCAGCATAGACACAGAGAGCGTGCAAACAAAGTTATCTAATATTTGCCAGCACTGCTAATAATGAAGTTTTAGACAAGTTCTTGCAAGCAGACGGGAACTCAAACTTATTCACAGCACTTTGGTGGCAATATCAGTTCATTTCCCTGGGATTATTCCAGGGTAAATAGGTTTCTGAGGCCTTTCAGAGGGAAAAATCTTTTCCAACCTATCTTCAATTATTTGACATCAGAACACATCTTTAGACTAGCTGACAAATACATAATCTCAGCATCTTCCTGCTTCCTGATGAGAACAGCCACGTGAGCTACATACATCTGTGTTTCCTTCCTGGTATTTCTATTTGACAGACCTAACTGGTTCTAAGAATTCTGCTTCTCACACTTACAGCTTCACAGACTTATAACAAACAGCTGTGCAGAGAACAGCCTGTCCACCCGGCTGACCACCCGACCAGACACAAATAACTTTTTTCCCCACGCCTTTTTTAAGCAGTGTATGGACTATTCATGTGGATTTTTGCACATTTACAACTAGTAAACATAAAAGACACTAGTAAGGCAGTAAAATTTTACATCTTAGTCACTTCAATTTCAGTTCCTCAGAATCTATTGTAAAGGTTTCACAATTTCCTCTTCTCAGACGTTATGACATTTTCTTAGACATTAGACTGTGTCTCTCCTGCTGGTGAAAAAGCTTAACAGATATGTAAAACCAGTAACAAGGACAAACATAACCCTTCTGCAGCAACAAGCAGCTCTTGCAGTCAGCAATTATGCATAACAGCTTCACAGGCAAAGTCTAAAAATGCGTTAACAGCAACCACTTCTAAACAATTTCTAAAACTTTGCCATTTTATATTCACTTCAGTTAATCAAATTGAACTTTGACAGCGAGATGTGTCGATCCCTTGTTTATCACAAAATCACTGGTCCAAACCAGAGAGGCTTGGGAAACTCGACTCTTATAACTAGCAGTAGGAACTGGGCAGCACAGGGCTCCCCAGGACCACTTCCTCTGAAGCTGTGCCATGAGAACACATGGTACCTACATGGGTAGGTGTGTTGTTCCATCATGGGAACACATGGTACCTACATGGGTAGGTGTGCTGTACCATCATAGGAACACATGGTACCTACATGGGTAGGTGTGTTGTTCCATCATGGGAACACATGGTACCTACATGGGTAGGTGTACTGTACCATCATAGGAACATGTGGTACCTACATGGGTAGGTGTGCTGTACCATCATGGGAACACGTGGTACCTACATGGGTAGGTGTGCCCTATTATCTACAGAAGAAGTCTTAGGTGGTCGTTCCCATCTCTTGCTGCCACCACAATGATTTCTATGACCTTGCCTGGAGGCAAGAAGGTTCTGCACTGCCTCTGTCCAACAAGATTCAGGTATGTACACTTTGTCACTGGCATGTACCTGGATTTTGGGTAGTTTATCATTAGTCCAATCTTCCAATGTCTCAGACTGAATTCTTGACACCTCTAACATCTGTTGTACAATCATGCATCCAGGTAGGAAAATGCTATCATTATGTCTCCCCAGTTCCAACAAACCACACTTATTCTGGCCCATTTAGTTTAGACACAAATCATTCCTCAGTTTATTTTCCATCATACCAGGTTTTATCAATGATACACATTCATAACTCTCATTTATATAGCAACTACTTTTGAAGTCAGTCCTGAAAACAGCTTATGCATTTAAGCCCAGTGGTGATGTAACTCTTCTGTTATTTGCGCACTGGGGACTGCACTATGAAAACAGGTTAAGTCAAGTAAGTGTGAAGCCTAACCACATCCACTCAGATGACAGACACAGTCAAAGGGCCTTCTTTTTGATGAGGGCACAAGAAACAAAATGTGATGTCTTTTTAATCAGTTAGATTTATCCAGAAATGTAGAAGGCCAGATGGGTGAATTCATGCTCAGCAGAAATAGGGAAGACAGAAGTGGTGACAATCCCAAATCAGAATCTATTTTGGGAAAGAAACAACTAAGAGGCAAAGGATAGCTGAAGGACCAGATTCCATCTCCAGGGAACCATCAGTCACTCTTGAGTTAGTCTGGCTTGAGGCTGCTAACTGAAAAGAAAACAGGAAAAGAAACCCTGCTGAAGCCGCACCTGAATGAGCAGTAACAACAAGGACTGTAACTGTTCCATTTTTCTGTATTTAAGTATAGCAATTGATTTCTTACACTCTTCACTTTAGTTGGGTAAACCATTTCTGCTTTTACCTCAAACCCTGCCTACTATCCACAGCAATTTCATGGGCAGCAAAGCACAGGCACCCGATTCCCCAGGCAAGCAGCAATGTTACACTGGGTTACATCTGTATGAGCTCTCTTTGCCAACATGAGCTACCAGCACCCCTTTGCATAGACCTGCTTTGGAAACATGTCTTGAAAATAACTAGATCTGGATTTTACACTTTTCTATGTTTAATACCTACATACAGACATATAATTTGACAGCATGGATTGGATCTCACATGTTTAAGACGTGCTGTGATGAGATTCCTTTGGGTTTAAATTCTTGTTTTCACCATGAAGCAATGAATGCAGAATTTAGATTGGGATGTGAATCAAAAAATCCCTTGAGTTATAAAAAAACACTAACTGAGTTTGTCTTTTTCCTGTAGAAAAGCTCAGACTATTGATACATCTTTTCCTATAATTTGTTTAGTGTTTCAAAGTGACTAACTTCCCCTCTTTCAACAGGTGGCAGCTCAGAAGAGACACTGATTTGTGATCTGGTTTGTTACCATTTCCTTCACAGACTAAACATTCTGTGAAAAAGCTCAGTTTCACACTAAGTAACTGAGATCGTTTGTGCATCACTATTGACAGTTTTGGAGAACTCCATTTATTCTCTACTTCAAAACAGCCTCAGCAGACCCACTCTCTAAAGAGCAGGAATTAGCACCATAATTTAGGAGTACAGAGAAGATCTTACATCAAAATAAGACAAAAGTAGTGCCGCTGTAACTCTGGTATCATGAGACTAATGTGTTTTGATAGCACAAATTGACCTCCAATTGTCAAGCTGACATTTTCAAGAATAAATACATTCCTAATAGAGGCAGCTGATGTGGCCATACCTCTGGCAGAAAGCAATCAATCCATCTGGCACCTGGCTTCCTGCCTGATCATAACAACTTATAAAGCACAGAATCCATTTACAGAATTTCTGAGTCAATAGGGCTTGGCCCTGGGATTTCTCCCACAAGCTACAAATAATTGGGATGATTTACTATTAGGTTTAATGTTTTCCATATGGCAGAAGTTACAGTCTCTTTCCACCTAAGAAACACAAATGTTTACTAGAATAAGTTTGCTACTTTTTGTAAAAGCATGACACTGTTAGCAGAAAAATACATAACAATCTGACCTCCACTGGCTATGTCACCTATTGGCTACCTAGAGGACAATCTGCAAAAAGAAGAGGCATAATTTAGAGGTTCTAAGTGTAGGATTTGAATGAATGTGTTGGGGCAAATGAGGTCCTTGACTGATGCAGATAAAATAAAACCAATGTTCTGCTTCAAAAAAAAAACCAAAACCAAACAAACACACAAAAAGCCCACAACAAACAAAAAAAACCAACTACAATTTAAGAATTTAAGAGTAAGTTGTAAGTAAGAATTTATGTTCTTGGAATGACTTTCAATATTTCAAAGAAGAAGAAATATTTCAGTACATGAGGAAAGCTGTGAGTTCAAGCAATAACCTAAAATGTACATGAACCCATATACATTGCACTATATTGCACCCTCAGGACATTTTTGTAGATTCCAGAACATCTTTTTTTTTTTTTTCCC